GTATTTGTCCATGCGTCTGAGTGCTTTGCCGTGTTACTGCGCTCCGCTCGTAGTAGTCTACGGGCTATATTCGCGTCTCTGCCTGCGCGGAATATATTAAACGATAAAAGCTCTGGGCACGAGGAGAAAAGTTGATCTTTAATTTTCATCGCGATTCTCCGGAGACTTGGATACGAGACGTGGACGCGAGTTTTTTGTCGCTACGCGTCAATTGTATCAAGCTCTTCGGCTTTCTGTTTACTCAATCTGTCCCCAAATAAGACGCAACAACGCGATTAGAACAATCGAACGCGTTATATTACCGGAATATCACGCAGACACTCGGCGGGATACTCGAAATAATCCGCCAGCTCAGAGCTCGTGCTTCGGCAGCGAGTACCAACGGCACATTCCGAGTCAATATTTATTTATTAAATACATGTTCTACATGATACACTTAAGCAAATACAATACACACACATGTGATCGCTCGGGCACACGCGGACGTGTTCAAAAGCTGTGATATAAGAATAATAATAAACGCCAATACAAATTGAGAACGACAGAGCTTGAGACCCGATCGAAGCGGAGCTTTTGTGAGTCCGAAGCACTTTGGAAAATGATAATGCCATTTCGAGAAAAATTTCTTCGATAGAATCTCGAGTAAACAGCCACCACCAGAAAAAATAATGTTCGAAGCGAGAGTCGAATTCTACCGCTTTCGAATGTATGCAGTTGCAGTTGAATACATCGACGCACATATGCGCGCTTGTCATTAGCAACGCGCTTGTATTTTCAATTTTCTGTGCCGCGTGCAAGGAAATTTTTTTCGCGGTATCGACATAGAACTCGAGTTGTAGAGAATCAATAAGATTTTATCGATTATCGCCGCGTATAAAGAAGTATGCGGTTTTTAAGAAAAAAAAAAATAATAATAACAATATACACACGCACACACGTATAATAACAATAACACAAGTAGATGTATATGCCGAAGAACGATTAGATATCAGATTTTATCTGCAGAGGCGTATCTCGCAACATCTGTATGTACTTATCGTTGTCATACGCGTCTCCCCTGCGAAACGCGCCGAAGAATTTCTCAAGTATAATTTTTATATGCACGCGTTGGCGGCCCTTGTTTGAGGAGGCATTAGGTACGCGTTAATTTACTCGAAAACGAAGTTCCGAAGTTATATACATTTTGAAATTCGATAAAACACTGCTGCTAACGCGCATGATTGATCGCGCTCGAGAGCAATAATAAATTTTATCACCCTAGCGTGTCTATAAGCACGCATCATCGCGAAAATTATACGCTTGCCGTAGAGAAGAGGCCGCAGCTAGCTACTACGTATCGAGGAAGAGCGCAGGAAATGAATCAGGTCCCTACATTCTGCCGCTGAAATTTCACCGAAAATTCGATCCCACCCCAAAATAGCTCGAAGCCTTTAGGCGCGCGGCGGGGGTGTGGGCGCGCTCGGCGATAGACGCACGATGTATGTATATGCACGCCCTTTAGCAACGATTCTCAACTCGAGCGCGCGTAATACAATTATTCCAAGAGACGCTCGGCAATTGAGAGAAAAGAGGCAGCATATAGGCAAGGCTCATCGCTCCCCTACGTACTACGCAGCAGGCACGAACGCACACAAATTTGCACAACTACAACTCGCCTATACTCTCTATCTTCTTTCTAGATTAGACGTGTTTAATATATATGATATCTCTCTAGGTTCTGTAAGGCAGGGCAGGAGCCGAGGCTTTTTCTCTCTCCGGATCTCTCCCCATGCGCTGTGCACTCTAATTACCGGCTTTGGGGTTTTGACAACTCGAATTACCCCTCTGGAAAAAGGACGGGTCTTTAACCCGAGTTTACAGTGTCGGTCTGGGCTGTATGTGAATTCGTACACACGTCATAAACTCGCTACTAGATGTCGTGTACGTACCACTGAAATAAGACGTTTCAAAGCTAATTGCGATATGTCGGAGACCGCATGTTTTACGGAGTAAAATTTTCTTCGCATTGATGATTATCAACGATTACTAAAAATTATGTACTTTTGTAAATTAAAAAGAAGAAAAAGCAGCATATGAACTACTCGACGCACACGTGCCAAAGTACAATAAAGAGCCCAAAAAACTCGTGTACACGCTGAGAGTCAACGATAAAAAAGAAAAGTAAAAAGTGGATCCCCTTTTTTCTTCTCCCACAAAAAAGAGGGTAAAAAAAGTACGCGAAGAAGAGGAAAGAGAGAAGAGGCAGGAAAAAAGTAAGGCGCGAGACGAGCAAGTCCCTTACATAGTACACAAAGGGTGGCAGCATGCTGCGCGCCCGCCTTATATACGTCTTAGCTGCTGCTTCTGTATAGAAAATGTACATGCGCTGCGAGTGGGGAGGGAGTACTCTTTTCAGTATCTTCGCACATACTGCTCGAGGGAGTGTTTCATCCTCTTGCTCCAGCTTTTTCACTTCTCTTCCTCTGACCCACGCCTGCGCTCGCCAGCTATCTCTCTTTCGAGGAGTTATACTACTCGAGACTGTTCGACGCAGGCAAGTAGGTTTCACGTAAGTTTACCTTCGTATAAATTTATATACGTACATAGCAAAGAAAAACTCTCCTCGCAGTTTTGCGCGCAGCGTAGCTTTTTTTAACATTGGAATATTTCTTGGCGCGTGCTGTGTACATCAACGCATAGTTGGCTCCACAAAAACTTGTAATATTCAGTCCTCCGTTATTAAACTTTACCCTTTGTATATTCTTATTCTGGCTCGAGCTCGGAGTAGTGAGCAGATAACGCGCTGCTTGAATTTTCCATGTTGTTAGAAGCATCGCTCCGTGAGCAATCACAGACCCCGCAGCAAGATTGTTTTCAGACAGCGACAGACGGCGGCGCAGGGGAATGGATAATTTTTACCCATTTGATTTTGCATCGATGCTTAATTGGAATCTCGAGTGCTGACGTACAAAATCTCATTTGTTTTGCCGTCAAGGGGCTCCCTCAATAGAGCAGGCATTGATTATATTGATTACTCAGTCAGTATATATGCAAACGCGTACACATGTACACGAAATCATTTAATTTTTTTTTTCTTTTTAGCTTCCAGTACGCTTATGTAATTGTGTACGACACGTAATCGTGCTTAAAGCCTTTATATCCGACTTTTGGAGACAAGTCGCGATATTAATCGGCCTTGTCATTGCGCTTCAATGCGCTCTACAAAGTCCATTATTATAATGACATATTTATAAGCTTAAAACCCCAAGTATGTATTTATAACAAAAGGAATAATGAAAAAGAAAAGGAAAGAGTAGCGAACCGTCGCACACCGCTCGTACTTGGTCCGCTTTTTCAAGTACTAATGCATTTATTATGCACGGGTTTACATCTCATTTAGCTCTGTAGCTCATTTGTCTACTCATACATAAGTACACATACGCACGCATATACCACTTTCTTTTGTGAAAAAAAGGTCGGAGATGCTTGGGCTGCACAGTACGTACGCTTTGCTTATGATAAACGTTAAAGGGGATATTTTTTTCACGTTTTGTTTGCGCATACTTATGAAGAGCGAAGAGAGTAGCTTTTGTGCTTGAAACTTCTTTCTATTCTTTATATTGTATTACAAGTATTATTGAAGAGTATATGCACACAAAAGCTGAAAAAGCAGGCAAATATTTTATAGCTTATAAATTCACAAGGTATTTGAAATTAATTTCGTGCGAGGTCAACAGTTATTAATTCAATTTCAGAGGAATATTTTTTTCTTCTCCCAGTGTCGAGAAGCGCAGTCGAGAAACGAAATGATGTAAAAATGAGTAAGAAGCTAAAGGCGTTAAATGGTCTCTCGCTTCTGGTAAATCGACAAAACCTCTAACATCTCGAAGCATTTACGGGTAGTTGCAACAAAGAAAAATGTGCGTACATAGCTATTAGCAGCTAGAAATTGACACGCCTCGCTCGCAATCGTAGCTACACCTATACCTATACAAGTTTTTCTTCCAAATTGTTCACTCTATATGGCATGTTGTGCATACACAACGGCGTTTCTGTGCTCTGCGCCGGTGGCATGGCGCATACATACACACAAGTAAATTTCAGACAGGTAACATCGATCCCCGACAAAAGCAACGAGCGAAAAATTCTTCACGATCGATCGTCGAGGGTCGCAGTTTCGCCTAGGCCTTTTGTGCATCTATATACGCACACGCAGCTCCGATCGCACATGGCAGCCAACTAATTCAATCGAATGTATATGAACACACACAAGTTGACGCACGAACACACGAGAGGCATTCGTTCCGGCGCGTCTGCATATGTAGGGCGATCTTGCACTTTTCAAGTTTCATTGAGCGTTTATTCTCTTGAACACATATATATATATTCGAAGAGAGCGAGCGAGAGAGAGAAATATGCGAACCCCGCTGGCTATTATGCCGTAGACGGGAATAAAAGAGGACAATAGAGCTCGGTGACAGGCTGCACAATGTACGAATTTTTCCCCCTCATAAAGCAGCAGATGATAAAACCCGCTGCTGTGCCGTGGTGAGAAAAGAGACAAGGAGAAAATACATTTGAGGAATTAACCGACCGGAGAGTCAGACTCGTACTGCTGTTTAATACAGCGGTAATTCGGAGCTAGGGCCCATGGCTCTTCACGCGGCTTCCCCCTTTTGCCCTAATGTTATATCAGTTGTAGAAGCTATAATGTGCGTGACTGCTGCTGTTGCTGCATGTGACAAAGCTCACTTTTGCCTGATGAGTAATATTTTCGTCATTTTTAATAATCAAGCGTGCGAGTACAATGATGTATTTTTTGAATGCTACTTATGATACGCTCAAAGATCGAGGGTTGCACGACTGCGCTGCTTTAATGTATATTGGGGTTTTATACGTGCACCACATTCAATCCGATCATTGCCTGCGAGAGCATGCCTCGGATGGATTTACCGTAATTTCTTAAATTGACGCGGCTAATTCCCTAAGAATATCTTGATTTAACAAATCAACGAATTCACCTGGTCATAGCAGTTCTCCGATGATGTTGAATTCGATCTCTTATTTGCAGGATTTTGGGCCGAGGACTCTATTTTTGAATTCGTTTGAGGTTTTACTTGAGACGTCCATTTCGTTGGTAATGAATCCGTTGGTTTCGGTGACGCCATATTTTCTCTCTGCACTGCCGGTGTCTCGAATACCGAATTTTGCCCACACACAGGCGAAAAAGCTGACCCTCGTGCCTCACATCCTTGTGACAACGCTGTCTGTAATTGTTCCACTGGGCTCATCCCATTCTCAATATGAAAGCGTCGCATTTGCTGTTCTTGTCGCTGTACTTCTATTTTCCACAAGTCTGCTCTGGTTGGCAAAAAGTGTTGCATGGGCCTCAATACATACGGTGGGTTTGGCACGCGATTTTGATGATTATAAATGGGAATCATATTATTTTGCTTCATCTTTGAAAAAACGTTTTCCTACTTCATATTCATTCTTGACTGCATCCAACGGCGAAATTTCAATTTAAACGATCTCTACCTTGAAACAAAAACACAAAACGCTGCATTGAAACAAACTGACGAACAAATTGGTTTGAATCGGCTTGTGGTCGACTACACAAACAACGTACGATTGATGGAAATTCTTACCGTTTCAGTTTAATGAGTAAATATATTTGATGATTTATCGCTCAAACTTTTTTTAATCAAACTAAATTTATACGATTCACTTTCTTTTGACGTTTCGCTGCACTTTGCTTCACTGTTTTTTCCACAATTAATCAACTAAAACTAATTATCGCTCAGACACGTAATATGTTGCGAAGTCACAACATGAGAATGAAATCATACAATGGCGAGTAAATAGTAAATATCCGAGCTGTTGTTCTTCTGCGCGTCTGTTTACATTTGTATGGTGACGCACGATGTGTATTTATTCGCTAATATAAGCACACTTATCTGCAGGCAGTAAACTTCTAAACATTCAATTCATCTGGCTTCTAATGCTTTCATTTTCTCACTGTTATCAGGACTTGATTGAAACGAAGGCGGCACGATTTAAATCCACCGTTGAATATTCATTTTTCCAGCGTAGAAGACGCAAAGTACAACATCACACCGCCATTTTACTCTTGGCAGGATGCCACGCTTTCGTACGAATGCAATATATTCTGCAAACATTCGAAAATGAACTTGTATAATACACAAGTTCGATTAAATGCGAATATGTATGTACAAGTATGCATTTATTAAACTTCACGTGCACAAGTTTGTGCCATACATACATCATCAAACGGCTAGCGTAAAATTTATAATTATACGAGGTGGGCGAAAATTTACCTTCGCTTGTATAGATAAATACACAGAGCACCAAAAGAGAGAGGGAGAGAGAGAGAGAGCTAGGGAGCAAAATGAAATGCAAACAATGCAAATTTATATCTGCATGATATAACGTGTAAAAGCGAATGAGCGAGAGTAAGGGTAAATATAACAAACCAAAACTACATGGCAATTTTTCACGAATATATAATATCGCGAGAGTCAAAATTTCCCGAGAGCAAATAACCAGTAATGCAGCTATTATTGTTTATTTCCAATGGCCCGATGATTGACGGAATTCGAGGCTGCAAAATGTCAACTTTTCTCGACTCGTGCATTGCGTGCACCCAGCTAATACCTGCAGCAATGATAACGATACGTATCATTGAATATTAATGGTCGCTTTTTTTTCTACACCATATACAGGAGAGCCGGGTATGCGCAACTCGAGGGCGTGGTATTTCATGTGTCAAACGTGCGCGTGTACGCACATACATTCGTTTTGCAACGGAGCCGATACCCGTACTATATCCAACGATTTATTGATATTTGATGCGTGTATACGTGTTTCTATGCGTTATTTATTTGCACGAACTTATTGTTGGCTCGAGTGTATACCAACTATATTGATTTACGACGTATAAACTGACCAGTTATTATTCAAATTCGTTGTAATGATTATATATATTTTTTTGCTGCGTGTTTTCGTCTGCTCATACATCTCAGGCAAAAAGAGATTATATTTTCATACGTTGTTGATTAACTTTTACAGTTTGGCAAATGCGTTAAATATAATGGTGAATTCATTATTTACGGTATAATGGCAATTGATTTGCCATCTATTATATTTTCATTGCTTATGAACTTCTCCAATTGATATGCTATTACTATGTGTAATTTTTAAAGTAAAAATGTTGTTTTTCTATCACAGGCGACCATTACTAAAGTAATGCATTTGCAGGCACAATCGGGTAAGAAACAATTTTTTTTACAACACTCCAGTGAACTCGAAAGGAGGCTGCAATCATATCTTCAACTCTTCTAGTTATGTTTGTTTGTTAGTGGATAGATTTGGAGCAGAAAATTTAATAGACAAGAGTATCGATTGAGTGAGTCTATATAATCCGGAAGTACATTTAAATATCGCGGGCCATAACAAATATCATAGAATAATTTCATATACTTATAACGAAACTGCAGATTTCAAATTATTACAAAATTAGTCAGATCATCTAGTCTAGTAAACATAAACATTCGTGCTCGTGGAAGGCGTGGGAGAGGGGAAACCAGTCTCTCGAAAATCATGAATCTCCGCGCATCGATGGACGGTATAACGTATTAATATTGCACACGCTCGAAGACATATATACAAACGTGCGCGTACTAAATTTCAAATTCATCATCGCACGTATATAAACACACGTAGGAGATATATGGGTGAACGATTTCATGAGCTATCGCGATCTCATGCATTAGTGATTACACGTATAATATATACATTAGCCGCATACACGCACATATATATAGCGATGAAGAGCAGCAGCGGCATATAATTAGTCCGTGTATGCTTTCGCATATTATCCATATATACATCGGTGCGGAATACATGTGCGCGAGCGAGCAACGCTTATAGCAACACACATACACACACACACCCATACAACAACGCAGCCGTATCGCGCGAGCTCGCTCGAGGATGAAAAAAACTCATTGTTCCATGCGAGCGGAGTCGCGCTCTGCGCAGCAGCGGCGTCGTGTCGTTTAAAAAAGTATATAAAGGTCATTAAACGTGATTATTACTTTTTTCCTCCTTCTCTCTCTCTCTCTCTCTCTCTCTCTTTCCCATTCGTATATACGGGAGCCACATTTTTTTGTCCTTTTATAAAAATATATGTTTCTCGCGCTCGCGCAGGTCGTGCAAATATTATGCATACACCTGCAATTTCAACTTGATGTGTTGTGCGCCCGCCGCTCGAAGAATTCGAAGCTCGAACATTTGTATTTAGCGGAATGCAGCAAAACACACGGTACGTTTTTCATGCTCCATCGTTTTGGTAAATAATAAACTGCACCTAGTCGCGCACACATGCATTGGGCAAATTGCACAACACTGCGCTCTGCACTCGGCTAAGTCCATTGCTAAAATCTGTGTGCGCGGGTAAATAACTGCACTGCACAAATTCTACAGTAGACAATGTTTGAAAATAAAATACTACTATAGACGCAAGCAGCGCACTATTCGCTTGTTCGCTTGCAACGCGTCTGAATTGTCGTCTTAATTATCGTGCTTCGATCGATAATTACGGAACGACGTGTGCATGCGTTACAGTACGCGCACAATCGACTTCTTTCATAGGAAGCATCAACCTTTAACTTCTTTTTTTTCTTCTCCGGATTAGATTGTGGTGAAATACTGCTCGAGCGCATATTGAGAAATATTAAATTTCAACGATACACTCGAGTGAATATTGCGTTTATTTAAAGGGATTGATACAGCTCTTATCGTTTCTCTCTCGGAATGATATATTAATCTTTTTTTAAGCCTCCTCAGCTCGGTCACTTTCGACTGTACGAGATATAACGCTGTAAATGGTGCTCCCTCTATATGTACAATCGGTCTATTATCAAGTTTGACGAGTTGCTGCTGATGTCTTTGCCTGTTGTAGACTCGGAGTGTTAAACTCTTCAAGTTTAATGACGACGCTCCGAACTAGCTCCAACTTTGAAGAGGAAGGGAGAGAATGAGAGAACTGCACATTTTATATGTGTAGTGTCTCGAAGTATGTTGCTCCAAGATATGTGTATGTTGACTTTGACTGTGTTTATATATTGACATTGGGCCAATGTAAATTATTCCGATGTATGAATGCACTAAATTCGTATTAAAATTTTGAAAAACCATCCGCTCTTCTCAGTACATGGAAATAGATACTCAATTATCATCTACACAAGATCAAAGGAGCTATTTCAGTACGACGAACGCAGCTGATAAAATAGCGACACAGTAAATATTGTATTTAAAATTATGGCGAGCGATGGCTCGTAGGCAGTTGTCGATGAGTAAACTCTCGTTTGTGTGCTGGAAAAATAAAGCACACGCGTACACGAAAGCTTGGTTAAAAATACAAAAGCGAAAAAAAACTGACGCGCAGAGAGCGAGAAGAGAGCGAAATAAAGCTCAAGTACGTTACAGCGCAGCGAAAAACAACAGAGCACACTTCTCGCTCAATTGCATTTGAAATGATTTGCTGCGCTGCTGCCGCGTTGAGGAAAGTAAGCAATCATCGTCTTGTATATTTTATGTTTTATCGAATGTTTACGTAATTTTCGACAAATGAACACATCGACGAGATCATTTTCCACCTAACATATTACAAATACATCTACTCGAGCACTTGAAATTACGTACTCCACTTTTTCTCCGCAGCTCGACCTCTAAGTAAGAAATTAATTTCATAATTCCTCAACTGCCTTTCTCTCGTTTTCTTTTTTTCGGAATTAGGCCTGTTTGCTGTTAAATGGAAAAGCCCAACAATTTTGTTTTTATTAGTCGATGCCATGAAGTGTGACTGGTAAAGGGGTGTAAAAAGGTAAAAGAATTCAGAAACATCTCTGACACGATAAATAGCATGTTTATGATATCAGCGGAGAACATTTTTTTTGTTGCACTCGATTTGACGGAGAATCGACCATATATTTATTCCTACATACATGCATGTACACATGCTCCCTCGGTGCATTTATTTTCATCTTCTTTGCGATCGCTCGAGCACGCACACTTGTGCACGACCAGCACACGAGAGAAATAATGAAGAGAAGGAGCATCAAGAAGCATGCTAGAGAGAAGGAGAGAGACATTTTATGGGTCCCAAGGCGCTAATAGGATTAGCGGATTAGCTTCGTGAAAAGTCAAGAGGGAGAAATCTTCGGCGCTTGCCGTACGAAGAACGCGTATTATAACAAAACCGAGGATAGATTGTGCGGAGCCATCATACGCACGCATCGGAGCTGAGCCCTGTTGTATGCGTAGAGACGAGAGTAAGAGAGCCCGAGGCCGGCCACGTACTGTATACTCGAGCAAATTTAGATTATATACACCGCCCTCTTGGCCATTTTCGTTAAATCTTTGTTTTTCTATTTTTTCTTCCTCTTCGTTTTCTTCTTTTGTTATACTTGTGGCCATTAATGGTGCGTGTAGGTAGCAGCGAGACTCTTATTTCGTGCGAAAAACATTTCGCCTATTGGTGAACACTTTTCAGTAACAGTTTATTACCGCGAGCGTTTCGATATATAGGAAGTGTGCTTCTTTTTGCACAGTAACCTTACCTCGAAATAACGTAATCTCATAATTTCTCTACAACAATGATACCCACTCACTAATACATACACATACGAACACAAACGCAAGCAGACTTATTCAGTGTACCCGAGGCAGAGAGTTTTTTTTCTTAAACTCTCCCCGGCGGATTTATGTTTCCACCGAACGGCTATTCGTTCCGCGTCAAGAGAAGCGTCGAGCTGGTCGCAGTAAAAAAAATATCGGACGAAATTTTGCACTCGAGAAATTTGATC